TGCCGGGGGTACTGCCTTGGGAGGCCTGGCACTGGTGCCCTGCCCGGAGGCTCAAGGGATGGTGTTACTGCCCAGAGGCCAGGAGGCCAAGCCTCAGGGAGGCATGTTGTCCTCAACCCCACATAGGTCTGCCTCTTTGGGAACTCCGAGGTGTCTCTGCGGGATCACCTGCGGGCCGGGGCCTGCGAGCAGGAGCTGCTGAGAATCATCCAGGCTGCTGTGGGCAGGAAGAAGCGGCAGCATGCAGGTAAGGGCAGGGCAGGGAAGGCCAGGCTGGACGGTGAGTGGGCCATCGTCTGCAGGAGGGAGGTCCAGAGTTAGGGCTGAGAGGGCCAAGGGGCACCTGGGAAGAAGCTGGCAGGGCTCAGTGTTGTCCCCACTCCCACTCACTCCGGCTGGACCTCCAGACTCAGAGTGCGGGGATGCTTCTCCTCCTTTGGGGAAATTGTCATAGCCGAGGCTACGCAGGAGAGGGCACCCGGAGTTCTCGTGGGCTGCTTTCCTGGGCACAGGGAGAGGGGTGGCATTGCTCCCCTCTCATCCCACATGTTGCCTTCCGATAGGGAGGGCAGAGTCCTGGGTGTCCACAGACCGTTCCCTGGGCTCTGCCACGAGTGACCTTGTGGTGTACCTGTGGGCCTTTTGTCGGGGTGCGAGCAGCTGATGCTGTGCACAGGGGCTGTCAGAGCACGTTCATTTCAGTGAACTCTCCTCCCCCTGCCCTCTCTCCCCCTCCCTGCTCTCCTCTCCCTCCCCATCTTTCCCTGACCCCAGGCATGTTCAATATTTCCCAGATGAAGAACCGGCCCATGATCCTCATCGGTGGGTGACCCATCAGTACGTAACCACTCACCCTTGTCATTTGGGGACCCCGTGGGGTGGGGCCCCTGCCATAGTAACTTCCAGCTCCACCTTTCATCCTGATGTTTTCGTTCTTACTTTTTTTCTATTACTCCTTCACCTTTTTTCACCCCTTCAAGCCTTTACTGTTTCTTCTCTTCCCTGTTCATGCTCCCCTCACCATACCTGTCACAGACATGATCATTCTGTCTCGGCAGAAGTCAGGGTGGGGATCCCCCGATTTAATAATCACAAGTTAGTTGTTCCCTGAGAATTGAGCTCCTGGATAAAATAGAGACCTTTTCCTCAGCTCTGGAATCTCCCAGCTTGAAAACAATTTTAGATGTCATTACCCCCGGCAATATGGAACAGTCCATGCGCGTGTATCTGGACTGTCAGCCCCAATAGTTACCACACATCTGTGCCAGGCGGAGCTTGAGGCAGCAAGCTAATAATGTTATGTTTTCAGGGAGGAGACAGCCAGAATTTCAACTTCCCAATTTCTTAACTCTCAGGAACGTCTGTGCATAGGACATATGTCATGTGCATAGGATGCTTCAAACCCAAACACCCTTTTTTATAAAGCCATATGTAGTGCCTTACCCCAGGGGACTGGGCTGGCCCCCGGGAGCTATGTGTACAGCTGCCATTGCCCCTTTGGCAGAGTACCCAGATTAGAGAGGGGAGGCCTTGTCCCCTTGCTCACACCCAGCTTGGGCCCCCTGAATTGTACCATTGGACAAAAGAAAGCACTGAGAAAAACTAGAGGAAAGGATTCTTTTCTCCAGAGGTTGGAGCAGAGTGAGCCCAGCGGCCCAGGGGACAGCAGGCTAGAATGGGCTGGAGACAGCCCAAGGACCACCTTTGCTCACAGTCCACCCCATAAAGGACAGGCAGGGCACCGCTGGGAAGTGATGGTAGCGCTCCCTTGGGAGGCAGACTTTATTGTCCCTTCTTCCCCCACCTCCAGCCTCATGGTCCTCTTGTTGGCCCTTGGCCCATGCTGGTGTCCCTCATGGCAAGGAGGAGTGGTGCCTTGATGGCATCCCCCCTGGAAGGGCAGTTGTACCTCTGACGTTCACGTGTCAGAGCATGATGGGAAGCCGGAAGTTGGGAGGCCATTTGCTTCCTGCAGAATTTCATTACTCTTGGGGATATCGAGTCACTAGCCTAGTGTGCTTTCTGTAAATCCAGGAGTGGTCTGGAACAGGACCCTCAGCCTTCACATACGTGTGAATCACGTGGGGATTTTGTTATTTCAGATTCTGATTCATCAGGTCTGGGGTGGGATCCTGCATCCCTAGTGAGTTCTCAGAGGTGCTGGTGCTGCCGGCCCGTGGACTGAGTAGCAAGAGCTGCAAAGTCCCCAGGCCCTCTGGACCACGGGAATCAGCCTGCCAGTTTTGTGTGCACTTCTCATGTGCCTGAGGGAACTTGAAAGACACGATTTAAGTAGATTAAATATTTCCCTTAGTACCTTGCTGTAAACTAAATGACTATATTAACTCTTCATAGAGACTGTGAAGATGAAAATGAGTGTAATTGGTAATTCAGGGTGAGACCAAGCTATAGTCTTAAGAAAATGAAGGGACATTGAGAGGTCATTTGATCCAGGCTTCGGCCTTCACACCTTAAGGTGTTTCTTAAGAGAACTTGGGAAACAAGACAGTTCTCACGAGGAAGGGAGCCCAGGAGTAACCTTACACCAGCGCTGCGTGGCAGTCACTGGTGTCTTGCACGTCACCTGGCGGGAAGGGCTGTGAGCTTGCATTTGGGTGCCTCCTGCCTATGCACTTCTGTGTCGTCCGTGCTTTTTTTTCACCCCTCTTTCTCCATTGTGAAAGAAAGAACTTGGGTGGGAGAGGGTTGGGGAGTAGAAAGTGGGAAAAAGAATTGCCTTATGGACTTAGTCTTTCTTTTTCCTTCTTGCCTTCCAGAGTTACTTTTGATGTTCCAAGATTCCCCACCAGCCAATCCGAGCACTTCCTTCTGGGACCCCTTCCACATTCAGGGTCTGAGACCCAGAGTGAGCTTCTCCAGCCAGATGGCAACTTTGTGGAAAGGACGTGGGGTCCCCCAGACCCCTCCCATAGCCCAGCAGCGGCTGGGGTCTGGCTCCCCTCAGAGACACTACACTTCCCACGCGGACTCAGATGCCAACTCAAAGTGCCTTAGCCCGGGGTCCCAGGCTCCTGCCGCCCCCTCAGGACCCCCATCAACCTCAGAACTAACCCACGTGGACTCGGAAGGACGGGCAGCTATGGTAGATGTGGGCGGGAAGCCAGACACGGAGCGGGTGGCTGTGGCCTCAGCTGTGGTCCTCCTGGGGCCTGTGGCCTTCAAGCTCGTCCAGCAGAACCAGCTAAAAAAGGGAGATGCCTTGGTGGTGGCCCAGCTGGCTGGAGTCCAGGCGGCCAAGCTGACCAGCCAGCTGATTCCTCTGTGCCACCACGTGGCCCTGAGCCACGTCCAGGTGCGGCTGGAGCTGGACAGCAGGCGCCATGCTGTGGTCATCCAGGCGTCTTGCCGGGCTCAGGGCCCCACTGGCGTGGAGATGGAGGCCCTGACCTCTGCCGCTGTGGCCGCGCTTACCCTGTACGACATGTGCAAGGCTGTCAGCAGGGACATCGTGCTGAAGGAGATCAAACTCATCAGCAAGACGGGGGGCCAGCGGGGGGACTTCCACCGGGCTTAGAGCTCCTGCCCCCTCTCACCCACGGCCAGCCAGGGCTACAGATGGGGTACAGTCTGGGCTGAGGGAAACACGTCACGTTCCTTTAATCCCAGTCCCTGTTCACCTGCACCAGCAGGAACCCAAGCTCATCCCGCTTTGCTACTAGGTCTGCTGCCAGATGCTCTCTGATGACCTGTGGGGCCTCCTGTGTACAGAGGGGACACCGGCAGCCCCTAAGCCTTCCAGGACACTAAGGTCACTGGAGGGAGTTATAGTGAGCAATGCTAGATAACTGAAAAATCACATCATGTTATTTGTGGACTATCACAGACCACCAGTTTCAGACAGTCCAGCCCATAACTTCTACTTCTCATTCTGGGTTTTCTCTTCTGCTTTCCTGGGGAAGGAATAAGGGTTCATTAAGCAGAGGAGCCCACTTTGAGGAGGGAAAAGCACAAGCTTGCATAGAGAACGTACCCCAGCTTCTCCCCAGCAGCTCTGATTCCCAAGTCTGTGAAGCCACAACCCTGCCTGGTCCCAGCTTCTCCCCCATCTCGCCTTCTGCCCGAACCCATGTCCCCCCAGACTTGCAGGCTTTCAGCTTAGCAGCTGCCCCCTCCTGCCAGCCCCTCCCACAGCCTGCTCCTCGTAAACAGGATGCACACGCGTGGGCCGCGGCCTTAAGGGCTTCTGACTGACCACACAGCCCACACCTGGCCCTGCTCCAGGCCGTTCCACCCACCCCTCCTTATTCTGGAAAATGTCAGGGAAAGAAGAGAGGTGAAGATCGCCTTTGCCCTCACAGCGCACAAATAAAGCCACGATGCCAACCTTGCAGATGCAAGAACGAGGACTGTCTGTGTGGACGGTGCCAACCTGCTACAGTGTCACACCCATCCCTCAAGCCCATCCCAAAACCCACTCCCCTGGGGAGGAGAGGAAAAGGAGAACCCTGGAAAGCCATACAAGGGGCACATTCTCTAATACCTCCCTGCGGGAGAAGGTAAAGTGAAGCAGGGGGCATAGAAATGCACCATCTAAGGGAAATGTTAAAGGGGAGGAGGCGGTGTTCAAACCCCCTGCTTGTACCACCAGCTATCAGAGCCCAGGGGAGCCCAGGAGTTACAGTCTCCTGGTTCTCACATCCCTAAACACTGCAGTGGCCTTCTGGGTCTTCTAATGTGGATTGGCACCTTTGGGTCTGTCTTCAGTGGTGTCCCCTGCCTGCCTTCCCTCTGCCCTATGCTGAGGTGTGCTGGCAAAAGTTTAACAACCAGCTCTCTGGAAAACAGACAACTTCCAAGACATAAATATGCCCGTGTTGACCAATTTCAAGCTACCAATATAATTTTAAATGGCTTGCAAACCTCCTGAAAATGTCAACAATTAGTTCTCATGGAGCTCCAGGACACCACTGGCTGTGCCAGCTCCCGAGCCCACCCCAAGTCCCCTCATGGGAAGAAGACACAAGTTTCAAGGCAAGCTGGGTAGGGATGGTATGGATTTAATAGTTTTTAGTATTACAATATATTCTTATAAAAAAAGGTGCAGGTGAAAAGGACACTGCAGATTTTGTCCATTAGCCTCATCTGTCATGTGAGGCAGCTGGTGAGAGCAGCCTTGGCATGAAGGCATCCCTGGTAGAGGTCGGGGGAGACGGTCACAACTCCCCGGTTGGTGGCAACGGGATGGGGGTGGGGAGAGCCTGCACCAGACCCTTCCCCATCCACCTGGAGAATGTTCTCCCACTGCCCCTAAACACTTCATTTCTATCACAGGGGAGGGGGAGTAAGTGCTGCTGCTGAGAAGGGAACAGGTTGCATTAGGTTGACAATGAATTTTACATTGGACACAAAATTAGCGGGAAAAATTTTCCCAAAGGTGGCAGGAGGGCTGGGAAGGGCATAGGGAAGCAAGACCAAGGAACACATTAATAGACTGAAACATGTAACATATCAAGGACCAGTGCAGCCAGCCCATTGGGCATCAGCCCCTTGTGAGTTGACTGAGACAGTCCATGGTCCAAGGCACTGTTGAGATCTGGCTGCTGCAATGGCATCTGGGTACCAAAGCCACGGGCCAGATCTAGGAAATAATAAATAGAGAAGAAAAAATCTTTGGGGGTGAGAAGGCTGGGCTCTGGAACGATGTATGCGTCCTCTGTAAACAGTTAAACCAAACTCTGCTTTTCTGAGGATTGAACGTGTCTTGAACAGCTTCCACATTCCTTGTCTTTCCTGGTGCATATCTGGTCTTCCTCGGTGGGCGGGAATGCCAGGATTTGGAGATGCTTGTCAGACTGGAGAGCTCCCCTTGGGGGCTAGACTGACCTCAGCCTGGCCGGTTTGGGAGAGGACCTTAAGAGGCCTCACCCACAACCTCCCCATCATCCCAACACCTGCATCTTGCAGGGGGGTCTCGGGGGTGCAGATGGGTATAGCGAAGCTCTCTGCAGCTGCTCTTCCTGGAAGCCTTCATCTCACCCTCACCTGGGTTCCAGGATCGCTCTTCACACCTGTGCCGGCCAGGCTTGCACTGCTCAGATCCCTCCCCCCAGAAAACACGTGCCACCTGCCCCCTCGAACCTACACACATGCTGGGCTCACCAACCCTGTGTTTCTGCCCCCACAGCTACTATCATCCCACCCCCAGGAATCTGATACAAGAAAAAGGCAGAAGATAGACAGCTGAGAGCGGGCCAGCCCACCAGTGTGTGCACTGGCAATAACCCTGAGCCAGGAGTGAGGTCGGGAACACACAGGCAGGGCAGAGGGCGGGAGGGCTAGGAACTGGTGGATGGGTTGAAGCAGGGCGGGTCGCACAGACAGTGAGACATTATTGAACACAAAAGCCTTGGAATTGACCTCAGGCCCCTCCTTTTAGAAGAGATTTTGTCTAGAGCCAGCTGTTCCATCCACCAAGGACAGCTCAAGATGGACAAAATGGAAGGTGGGAGTGGACAGGAGCACCAGAATGGGCCCCTGGCAAGTCAGGCTGAAGAACCAGCTTGGGTTCCAGAGATGGGAGGGCCCTCAGGCAGTGCGCTCCCCCATCCCCAGCTTCCCTCGCCTTCCCCTCTCTCCTCTTAGCCCCCCTCTGAATGCTGCGCAGGAGGGGCCACGCTTAGAGGTGTAAATGTGGAGGGCAGCTCTGGCCCTGGGGACCCCCTCAGGAACCGACTCCCCCACCAGCCTCAGCCAGGACACTGGTGCCAAGTGCCCTCCTGCAGGCTGCACGGAGCAAGAAGCTCTTCTGTGGCTCACTGTGGCTTCTGCCCTGAGGCAGGTGTTAGAGAAAGGGGCTGTGAGTGATTTATGTGACGTGGTGGACCAGGGGGCTGCTGGGTGCAGCTGGCACTCAAGTGCTGCCCTCTGGTGAGGGGCCACAGGGAACTCCTAGGCAACACGCGGGGTCACTTCCCAACCGCGGCCAGGTTGCATGGGGAGGTGGGGGGACTTGGGATGCACCTGTAGGGATTTGCATGAGGTGTGGTGTGAACGAGGTCCTATTTGAGCCCCCTCCCTTACCAGATTCAAGGACCTGGTAGTGAGCCGTGGTCGTGGAACCCAAAGGGGAGTCTTCCGGGTTGTGGATTAGTAGAGCAGATGGAGGTGGGCAGGTGGGTGTAGGGAGAAAGACTTCAGACAGGGCAGAGAGGCCAAAGGACTTGTGACGTAGGAAACAGGCACTGCTACCCTGTTCTGGTGGCTTTGGTCCCTGCATCATCCTCCCAATGTTTGTTGTCTTTCTGGAACATACCAGAGCTGATCTAGCTAGAAAACATAATGCCTTTCCCGTTTCCATCCAAAAGGAAAGTTTGCCCCCAGATCAGTGTTCGCGGAGCCTCCTCGAGGGCGGGGGCCTGGACTCCCCACCCTGGCTCTCAGGGGCCCTGTTACTCTCCCTGCACATGAAATCTGGGCAATGTCATGGACCTCCTCTCCGGTGTAGAGCTGGGGCAGTTCTGTGCCAACACGTGGGTGCCCACGGTGGGGTGGGGAGCAGGGCCCTCGGCCTAGGGTTGCCTGGCTAGAGGCCCGGGGCCTGCCAGGGGTGTCCAAGACAGCCTCAGAGAAGACCCCCGGGGACTGATGCAGAAAGAATGGTGTGAAGGGGAGAAGAGAGGAGCCGCTAGGTGAGTGTGGGGGGACACCTGGTCCAGCCACACACCACTCCCCACCCCAGGGCCCAGCCCAGGGCTCAGCCTGAGCACCAAATCCTGTAAGTATCACCGCCGCCTCCACTCAGCCCCTCTCGGCTGTCCCTGTCTCCCGGCCTCCTGCGCGCCCAGTCCCAGGTCAATAATTTAGCCTGTTTATTGCGCGCTCCCTGGTGACTTCCGGGGCCTGGCTCCCTGACCGCTTGCGGCTGCGCTTGAGCTTGCATAAGTCCTTGTCGAAAACCTCCCCGGAGCGCAGGGCCGACACCAGGTCGTCGAACTCGCCGCCCCCCTCGTCCAGCGCGCTGCCCGCCCGGACCTTCCGCTGCCGCTGCCACCGCTCGCGCTCCCTCTGCTCCTTCAGCTGCGGGGACAGGGGGAGGCCCTCAGGGAGCCGGCCGAGTGAGGCTCACGCCAGCGCCCTCCAGCCCCGGGGTCACTCCTCGGGGGCCGCCGTGGTGCCCGCTCGATCGGTTGCCCCGCTGTCCTGTTTCCAGACGCCCAGCCTGCCCTCCCCTTCCAGGGTCCCCCTCGCGCTCCCCAACCATTTCCCCCCCAGGGGCCCGCGGTGGGCCCGGCCCAGCCCCTCACCATGGCCTCCATGCGCGCCCGCCGCTCCTCCTCCTCCTTCCTGCGCCTCATGGCCTCCAGATCCTGCCGCGCCTCCGAGAAGGCCTGCAGGAAGGTGTCGAAGATACCAAAGAATTCGTCCGGCTGCATCTTGCTCTCCTGCTCCCCGAAGTGCATCAGGGCCTTGGCGAACTGTCAAGGGAGGGAACGGGGTGGTGGAGAGTCCCCCCTGAGCATGGTGGGCTCAGCCCTGAGGTTAGCTGGGTTCCGGTCAGAGCAGGAGGGCCCAGTCCAAGGCTGGGGGCTGTTGGCGTGGTGGGCAGGGCTGGAGGGGCCGGGGAGACCCCATTGTCATCAGGGCTAGGGACAAGGCCAGAGAAAGACTGCAGCTGACACCCTGGGGAGGTGGGGCATTGGGCCGGTTGACAGTCTCCCTCAGAGCCACCTCTGGGCCTGTTAAGGGGCAGGTGTGGGATCCGGACGTATAGACCTTGGGAAGCCCTTCCTAAGGTCAGGAGCAGCCCGGAAAGAACTCAGGAGGACTTTAGAGATCATTTAGTTAACCGGGTTAATAATTAAAGCCCTCTGTGCCTCAACTTCCTCATCTGTAAAATGGGGATAATAATAGAATCTCTTCATTGTGGTGTTGTGGAGTTAAATTAGTTAATAGATGCAAAGGACTAGCTATACTTATATGTGCCAGGCACTGTTCTTTTATTGAGAGCTACTGTCTCTTACTCAAACCACTCAATACGCTCTAAGAACAACCTCGCTACTCAAGTGTGCTTCGTGGACAGCAGCAGGTGCACCTCTTGGGAGAAATGCTGGATCACAAGCCCCACCACAGGCCTCCTGAATGAGAATCCACATTTTAATTAAGACCCCCATACTTAGGGTCCATGTACATGTTATGTTAGTGTGAGAAGCAACTTAGTCCAAGGCTGAGCTGCAGTCAGGATTCTAACAGTTGTATCATTTACAGCTGGGCAATCTTGGGCAAGTTACTTAACCTCTCTGATTCTCAGTGGTCACAATTGTCAAATGGGATAATAACCTTCCAACAAACCCATAAGGTAGGTGATGAGACAAATCATTAAAACACTTAACATGGCACCTGACACCCCATAAATGGACCGGGATCTTTACAGTCTGCAGTTATCATTGCTTGTCTGGTAGGAGTGAGGAAACTTTTTTCCCTAAGCGCTGTGACCCTGGGTTTGTCCCTTCTGGGCCCTCTGTGATAGGAATGGGTGAAGGAGATGTGCTTAGATAAGGCCGAGCTGGAAAGCAGTGGGGTCAGGGTTAGGCTGGGGGTCAGAGTGGGGGCTTGGGGTGCCCTTACCTTGTCCCTGGCCTCATTTAGCTGGTCCTCCAGCTCTGAGAAGCTGAAGCTGGACACCGTGATGAAATCGCTCATGATTGGGACAAACTTGTCATTGGGCTCCCGCACCTGGCGCCTCTGATATTCCAGCTCCTGAGGAGGGAGTGACATGCTGCTTAGACGGGTGCCAGGATAAGTGTCCAGGGGTGCAGGGTCACCACATCTGCCACCCTTGTCACTCACAGAACACTGAGCCCTTTAGAAGAAGAAGCACCCTGAGTCTCACAATTCTAAGGGTGGCAGAGACTAGGAGGTTAGCAGCCAGCCCACCCTGCCACTACCCTTCCCTCACCCACCACTGCCATCTTTCTTTCTCTAGAGCCCTGCGACCCAAAGCGTGGTCTCGGGGTCTAGGGCCAGCAGCCCCCTCTGGGAATTGATGAGAAATACAGACTCTGAGGCCCCACTCCAGACCCACTGGACCAGAAGCTGCATTTTAGCAAGACCCCCAGGTGATTCATGTGCAGATTAGAGACATATTTCTAAAGCCCCCAGCTAACATGAATGCTGCTGGTCCATGGACCACACTTTGAGTAGCACTTTACAGGACTATAAAATTGAAAATTTGGAAATATTCTACCCCTCCCCATTCAGTAGTGGCAACAAAAGGTTCTTTCTCATACTTCACCTAACCCCGGTCTCCAAGTCCATTCTCCCCTTACCTACCCCCTCCCTACACGGTGAGATGGGAAGGGTCTCTATTTCCTAGGTGTGGGGTACAAAGACTTGGGGACATCCCTATACTGGCCCAGTGAAGTCACTTCCCCACTCCTCTACTCGTGCTTTCTGGAAGCCTAGGGCCAGAGACAGTATCAGCTGAGAAGCCATCAGGAGACCACCACTCACTCCAGCAGTGAGTCAGCACCTGGGTCCTCCACTGGCCCAGGGAAGAGGCAAAGAGACATAGAGAAGAACCTTCTAGGGACATCAGTCCCACTGCCACACTGGGGAAGCTTTCAAGGGATGAGGATTCTCTTTCCCAGGCAGCAGATTCATGGTCCATTCCATCCCACTGCCAAACAGACACCATGTTGGACAGTGACACGGATACAGTCTCAGATGTTCTCTTTTTAGGGGTTTATATTTACGCCCCACATAACCCAATCACCCTTTTCTGGGGCTGACCTGTGCTGGAGGCTGTGCCCACTGTGCCAGGTGTTCTATCAACCCATCGAGGAGTGACAGGCAGCATGAGCAGCCTTTCCCAGCAGTGCCCCTCAACCCAGGCAGGCACAGCTACTGTACTCACCACCTCCACTGCTCTCAGGCCCCTTCTGAGGTTGCCCACCTCCTTCTCCAGCTCTGCCAGGCTGTGAGGAGACACAGGGAGAAGGGGGGTCATCAGCTCTAGATTTGGGGAGCTGAGGCTGGTTCAGGGAGAGGGCAGTGCAAAGCACAATGGCCTGGGTGTCAGTGGACCTGAGTCACTGACGTGTGGCCCTGGCGAATCACCTCCCCTTCATGCTTCTGTCTGTGCCTCTGTAAAATAACAGTGGCGACGCTTGCTCTACAGATCTCTCCAGATCAGAAATGCCATGCTGCATATCAGAAGGTTTCCAACACATGGCCTCTGACTGACACTTATTTATTTTTATTACCGCCAGGGAATGCTTACAAGCTCTTGCACGCATCTTGCATGTGCAGCATTCAGTACCTGTCGGCCAATTGCCACTACCTTTCTGGTTCTCCTGGAGGTGGCTTCTCTCACCCTGTATATCTGGGTCTGATTTCTTGTCTGTAGCAGATGCTGTGGGTGCCCCGCCCATATTTCCTTGGACCATCCATTGTAGAGCATGGTCCCGACTCTTCCAACTGTGTGAGCACTTTTTCCGAGGCCCAGCCCCATCTGCCTATACCCATGGCCAGAGAGTTATGCTCCCCCCAGAACCCCTCAGCCAAGACTGACGGGAGATGTGTGACTGCCCCAGCAACCTTGGCCGGTGGGTGGGATAACTGAAGCGAGTTTTCTTCACTGTCTCCCGGTGTTCCTTAGTGGGGTTAAGTTCCAATTGCCCATGGTAGTAACTGGCTTAATAACATTCCTGCTACTGGCATTCTTTCTATCTCTGTCTCACTTCCCACTCCCCTACTGATGTTTTCTGGAAGCATCTCTGAAATAAGGATTTAAGAGCAAATTGTCTATGTTTGGTTCTCCTAGAAGCAGACCCTAGACACTGCCCGCTCCTAGTGAGCCCAGAGTAGGCCCCGGAGGAGGAAAGGCAGACAAGAGTGCAGGCGATCGCAGGAGAAGCAAGTGTTGGAGGGACCCCTCACTTGACTTTGGCAGCTTCTGGAAGATGCTGCAGCTCCGAAGGCATGTTCAGGATGTCAGGGAAATGCTTCTCCAGGATCATGATCAGGTAATGGAGCAGAGAGATGTTTCTGCGGATGAAAGTGCAGTCAGGGGTAAGGGACAGAGGAAATTGCCAATGAGCGGCAGAGGGAAATTAGGGAGAGTTGTTATGGGAAAGAGAGGAAGGATAAGAGGGAGGAGGCGAGAGGAGAGGGTGGGGTGAGAGGAAGCTAAGGAAGCAGGGAGGCCCCCACCTGTCAATGCTGGATTTGGTGTCGGCGATCTTGTTGAGGCTGGCCACCCGGAACCCGTAGGCACCCCCACGCTGCCCTTTGTTCATGAAGTTGCCGATGGCTAGGACAACCTCTAGCATCTGCTTTAGACGCTTGCTGCGGATCAGCTCCCGGGAGGCCAGCAGGATGGCTGGGGGAGGGGGGACCTGTCAGAGCCCTGCACACACTAGGCCAGAGCAGCGGGTACCCCTGCATCCCCGAAGATGCCACCACAAAGTTCAGGGAAGGGGCCGTCAAGAGTCTTCAACTCTCAGGGTGGCC